TGAAGTCACAGGGCAAACTGCCATGCCAAAATCTGAAGAGACAGGTGAACACAGAGAATCACAGCTGAAATAAGCTTGTCTGGAGCAGAAGCCACCAGCACCAAACTGGTAGGAACATCTAAGTGCTAATTTTGACAAGTTTCTGGAGTCTGACTGTGGACCAGGGTGAGAGAGAGTGAGAAATTCCTGAAAGCCAAAACTATTTGCGAGTTTTGACTCCAGGAACCATACCAGGTTCTCATGGTGAAAAGATAAGAAAACTACCTCAGGTCTCTGTCAGGGAGAGAGGGAAAGTAACCATTTTGAAATACGCCAAGAGCATTCTCTGTAACAAAGGCCTGATCTCCAGTAAAAAAGATTTTTCCAAAGACTTATCTCACCTAGATGGAAAAGGGCTAATACCCAACACCAGCCGCCTCTTGCTTTCTTGTCTCATCTCCTCTAAGGAGGACAAGGAGAAAAAAAAAAGGCTAAGAAACACTTGTGAAGGTCACAGCCCAAAGACTCAGGCCCACTAAAAGACTGACATTTAATTATAGAATGCTTCTCTTTTGCAACTTCTTACTATATCATTAATAGGGTTTGAGTTTAATTACAGTGAGTTACAGCTAAAAATAACTACAAGGCACAGACTATTTAAGGAGATTTTAGGGAAACACAAAGGCAACAAGGGGACAAAAACTATGGGACTAGAGAAATTTGAAGCTTCTGACAAGAACAAACTCCAAACAGTAAACAGATCCCAACTCTCACCAGATTAGCATAAAACATCTTGCAGAAAGCTTATTTGCCCCAAATCCTGATACATCATCTCCCACTTTGAACAATCACAAGGCATCCTAAAAGGCAAGAACAAAACAACAGAAAACCAAACAAACAAAACAAAACAAAAACAAAAAAACGTAATCCAAAGAGACAAAGCAAGCCTCAGAACCAGACACAGATATGACACAGATTTTGCAATTATCCAACAGGGAATTCACAAGATGTATGATTATTGTGCTAAGGGCTCTCATGAAAAAAGTAGACAACATGATGGAAAATGCAAGCAGAGAGGTGCAAACTCTAAGAAGAAATAAAAAAAAATGCTAGAAATCAAAAACACTGTAACAGAAATGAAGAATACCTTTGATATGTCCAGTCAATATACTGGACACAGTAGAGGAAAAAAATCCATGAACTTGAAGATATATCATTGAGAACTTTCCAAACCAAAGCATGAAGAGAAAAAAGAATGAAAAGGTGGGGGAGAATATTCAAGAACTGTGGGACATTTTCAAAAAGGTAAAATAGGCATAATAGGAATAGCAGGAGAAGAAAGAGAGAAAGGAGCAGAAGAAATATTTGATGTAATGATGTCCAAGAACTTTGCGAAATTAATGACTGACATCAAACCACAGATCCAACCTCATAGAAGGTACAACAACAAGTAAACTTGGATTTTGGGTGATAATGAGGTGTCAGTATGGGTTCATCAGTTGTAACACATGTATCCCTCTGGTGTTGATGTTGATAAGGGGAGAATCTGTACATGTGTGCGAACAGGGGGCATAGAGCATATCTCTGTACCTTCTCAATTTTTCTGTGAACCTAAAACTTCTCTTCAAAAAAGTCTATGAAAGAAAACTGTGTTAAAAAAAACAGAACGCAGGGGTGCCTGGGTGGCTCAGTTGTTAAGCGTCTGCCTTCGGCTCAGGTCATGATCCCCAGGGTCCTGGGATGGGGCCCCACATCAGGTTCCCTGCTCAGCAGGAAGCCTGCTTCTCCCTCTCCCTCTCCCCCTGCTTGTGTTCCTGCTCTCACTATCTATCTGTCAAAAAAAAAAAAAAAACTTAAAAGAAAAAAAACAGAAGGCAAAAAAGAAGAAACAAAAACCAAGTGCAACAAATACAAAATAGTTACAAACCTACCTATCTTTGACTAGTAGTAAAAAATGGTAGATAACAGTCCAACTATATCAATGATCCCTTAAAGGTGAATGATCTAAATATACCAAGTAGAAAACAAAGATTGTTGGAGTGGATCAAAAATAAGACCCAGCTGAATGCAAACTGGTGTAGCCACTGTGGAAAACAGCATGGAGTTACCTCAAAAAGTCAAAAATTGGACTACCCTATGATCCAGCAGTCACACTGCTGGGTATTTATTCAAAGAATACAAAAACACTAATTCAAAGGATACATGCACCCCTATGTTTATATCAGCATTATTCACAATAGCCCAACATGGAAGCAGCCCAAGTGTCCGTTGATTGATGAATGGATAAAGAACAAGTGGCATGCATATATATATATCTATAATTCAACCTTAAAAAGAATGAAATCTTGCCATTTGCAAGGATGGATTTGAATGGATGGACCTACAGAGTATCAAGCTAAGCAAAGTGAGGCAGTCAGAGAAAGACAAATGCTATATAATTTCACTCACATGTGGAACTTAAGAAACAAAACAGATGAAAAAGGAAACACAAAAGAGAGAGAAGGAGAGACAAACCAAGAAACAGACTTTTAACTATAGAGAACAAACTGATGGTTACCCCGGCGGGGGAGGGGAGGAGGGGGTGAAAAAAAATGTTGGGGATTAAAGAGTGCACCTGTCATGATGGGCACTGGGTGATGTATAGAATTGTTGAATCACTATATTGTACATCTGAAACTAATGTAATACTGTATGTTAACTACACTGGAATTTAAAATAAAAAATAAAACAAAAATAAGACAGAACTATATATTATATGCAAAAAAGCCATTTTAGGGGGGCCTGGGTGGCTCAGTCAGTTAAGCTTCTGCCTTTGGCTTAGGTCATGATCTCCGGGTCCTGGGATCAAGCCCCACATTGCGCTCCCTACTCAGCTGGGAGTCTGCTTCTCCCTCTCCCTCTGCCCCTTCCCCTCACTTGTGTGCACTCTCTCTCTCAAAAAATAGCTATTTTAATATAAAGACACAGACAGGTTAGAAGTAAAGGAGTGAAGAAAGATATACCATCTAACACTAATTTTTTTTAAAAAGCTGGAGTACCTGTATTAATTTTAGACAAAGCAGACTTCAGAGCAAAAAAACTTTATCAGTGATAAAGAGGGGCATCACACCATGATAAAGGGTTCATTTTCTCAGGAAGATATAATGATCTTTGATATGCATGCACCTAAAAACAGAGTATCAAAATACATGAGGCAAAAACTTAAGAGAAAGGCAATGAGAAATAAAGAAACCCACTATTCTAGACTTTACTACCCCCTTTTCAGTATTGATGGATCAAACAGGCATAAAATCTATAAGGATATAGATGAACTGAACAGCACCATCAATCAATTGGATCTAATTGACACATAGAATATTTCATTCTGAAACAACGGTATACATGTTCTTCTTAAGCTCATAGGAAACATTCACTGGGAAAGACCAAATTCTGAGCCATAAAACACACTTTAACAATATAAAAGAATAGAATCATACAAAGTAGTAGTAGTCTACACAATGGAATTAAAGTAGAAATCAATACAAAAAGGTAACTGGGAAATCCCCAAATATTTGAAGACAAAATGATACACTTCTACGTAACACACAGATCAAAAAGAGGCTCAAAAGACGTAAAAAGGAAATATGGTGAGAGGTTAACAGTGATTATTTCTGCATAGTAAACTGATATGTCAATTATTTTCTTTGATAATTTTCTATATTCTCTACAATTTCCTATGAGTTACTTTTATGATCAGGGGCGGGGGGGGAGTTTAGTTTATTTTTAAAAAGAAACACTGAAAAGGTAGCATTTAGAGGCCGCGGTGACAGTTGTGTAAAGATGGGAAAGGGGTGAGGAAGCAGAGTTGAGGACAGCTGAGGTGCCTGTCTTGATTGCCTAATAGTTAAAAATGCCATTAAACTACATATAAGTTATAGAAACACAGCACGTTGGGGGACTAATGCAAATGTTTTGGTTTGGAGTCATCTAATACACACATTTGTAAAGTAATATCTGAAGCTTGGTGGGGTTTGGTCTGTTCTTCCAACACATAGAAGTGGCTCGTGTGTTCAGAATGGAGAAGCTTCCAGAGAAAACAAGAGGGATGATCAGAGAGGAGGGTCAAGGTAGAATCCAACACCAACATTAAAGGGACAGATGGAAGAAGAGAGGCAAGCCATCGTTTGGGTGGTGGAAGGAGCAGTTGAAGAGCAAATGCGAGAGAGGGGTGTTAATAGAGGTTAGGAGAAGAGAATTTCAAAAAAGAAGAGATTCTCAGGGTCAAAAAGTACGAAGAGGTCAAATCACATGAGTACTGAACAGATACCAGCACATCCAAGAGTTCAGGGTTGGGCTCCCTGCTCAGCGGGGAGCCTGCTTCTCCCTCTGCCTCTGCCTGCCGCTCCCCCTGCTCTCCCCATCACCCGACAAATAAATAAATAAAATTTTTAAAAGAGAGATGTAAAGGGAAGGGGAGATATAAGCTTTCTGTATGAGGAAGGTAGAGCTAAGGGAAGGTTTTTATGTTCGGTTTAGGCTCATTTTTTTAGTATTGGGGAGATTTTCCCATACAAATCAAAAAGAAATAGCAAACCAATAAGCGGATATTGACATTTGAGAAAAAAGACATCTACCTAATGGAGGAAGGTGGGAATCAGAGGTGGGAGAGGCAGGAAGTAGGATAACCCATGGGCCAAGTCTCCAGGCCCCCAGTACCTCCTCCATTGTCCCAGTGGATTTACTTACAAAAACACAGATCCAAAAATAAAATTATTAAAAATTTCAAGATGGCAACAGCAAAGCATTCGACTCAAGTGTGGGACTCTGAGTGTGAGCCCCGTGTGACTACACGGGTCCCATGTCCGTGAGGCCAGCCCTGTCTCTCATATAGCTTATAGGATCTTGGAGTATGAGCACTGGTGGTTGGGCAACTTTGAATCGTCTGTGGTATTTGTGCCTAACTGGGGCATTGCCTAAGTTGTGCCTAAGCATGGCGCCTTGTTGGTAATTGATTATTTTTCAATATGAGAAAATATGCGAATATGAGAAATATGAGAAAGGATGGTAGGCCTGGTGACCCTGTGTTGAGCAGTAAATGAAAAAACTTTCCTGGCCTGGATGAGGGGAGTTGGTTCTTCCTTAAAACCCTCAGAAGAAAAAGTACACTCCAGAGTAAGCCCCAGTGGATACGTTTTATTAAGCATTTCCAGGAACTGGAGGCTGGGGTGTGGGTAGGAAAAGAGTATATAACGGAATAAACATGAAAATTCAGAATTCCCTGAGGCAACTCTGAAAATCCAATATCTTCATCTAAGGACATGTTCCTCCAGGAGTGGAAAGATGACACGTGTGTGTATATTTTCTACCTGAGATGTGAAAAGGAAACCAGATAAGTCACCCTGCAGAAAACTCAAGGATTCACAAAATCCCGCTTTATGGTTCTGTGGCCTTAGGGCCAGTCCTTGACTATGGCCTTCTGCTCCTGCCAGCAAAGCCGTGGACGCAGTTCAGTGCGGGGGCGCTGGGTCCTCTCAAGACCTGGGCCCCCGGTACGGCCCCGCAGCTACTGCTCAGGGGTCCTCCCCGTGTGGGGTTGGACTTGCAGCTTCTAGGGTTGCGTTCAGCCCTCCCCATGCCTCACTGCTGTGGGGGAAGGAACACAACTTCCACATGGGTGTTTTTACACCACTTTCTCTGAATTGCTCCAATGTGAACACTGAACACGGAATGATTGTTCTTATTTCCGAGTCATCTACGAGAGAATTATAAAAGCAACATGTTACTTCACTTGGCGATTTCTATTCCTCATGTGGTCATATTTTCTCCAGCTCCTTTTTAGGATGGAAGTACTTAACCAGGTCCGATTGTCCTTCATGATGACAAAAAAATGAAGTTATTTACCAAAATTCTCTTTATCTCTACTTTCATACATTTTACACAAATGATGTCATCACTCTGGAGACCTTCTTTGAGCAAGATTTTTCCAAACCCTGTTGACAACCCTCTAACGCTCAAGGTTAACGACAGATCTGAGGCATAACGTATCACTGATGGCCTCTAAGGGGATCCAAAATGTTTGGCAAATGCAACTGGACAGGCATGCAAGCAGCAACAGAAAGGCAGAGTTACATAGATTTTGGAGAGCAAGGGTCTCTTGGAAACAACAAAAAGGAAGGGCTCTATGGTGCCCCAGGAAAAGAGCTTCCTCCACTTTGCTGTAATTTGAAACGAATATCTTTCCTATACAAAAACAACTATGTAATAAGCATGGCTTTTCTGGAATTGGAAGCTTTTTTAGCAATGATCATGAAGTGTTATTTTACATGGCCCTGTTGCTGTTTTTTTGGACGTGGCGTTCCTGGCCACAGGTGCATATGGAAGATTTGACAGCCATAGGCGCATATGGAAGATTTGACACCAGGACAGCCCTGCCACAGCCCCATCGCTGTAGCCACGGGACGGAAACTAGGGTCCGAGCTGCAGGCCACTACCCTGAGACCATGAGCGGGCAGGAGTTTCTGACCCCCCCGGGATGACCCAATGTGTTCAGACTTCGCAATCAACCACCTGACTTGGGGCTGTCACAAAGAATGTCCAGTGGGTGTGTAGGGTGCTCAGAAAACAGTAAAGGCAGAGAAATTAGGAAGAAATCTCTGCATGGAGGGGCTTCCACACTCAAGCCACTCAATTATGGTGGACGTTGAACAGGCTGAAGGTCAGCTGAACCCTAAATATCGGAAAATGGGGGAAGGGTTTAAGGGAAAAACAAGATTACTGAGGGCTTCCTGGATGTTAATGACGTCGAGGTCCGCCCATTAACGCATCTACTCAGGAGAGGGAATCTTGAAGGAGGACATTTAATGAGGAGAAAGGTCCTGTAAGTAAACATTCTCTTCTACTCAGAGAAAAAGAAGGAAAATAAAAGTTTGTCTGTGGGGAAGCTCTGAAAGGCCCTCCAGATTTACGGGATGAGCGTATCACAGGCAGAACTGCATTCCCTGTTTGTTCCACACAAAGGAGTTCCCACCCAGCTTGACACGACAGGATGTGGGGTAAAGTGAGGCCTTGGGCGAGTGAACCATGAGATAAAATGATGATTAGGGCTTGCCTCTTGGCGTGGCTCAGCGTCCAGTTCTGCGAGCAAGGCAGGGCCTATTTGTTCATGGGCTGGTTTGCCCCACACTAATCCCAGGGCACTGGGCCACACCATCTCCTGGGACTCCCTTGGTATGTAACCATGACCAATGCAAGGCAGCACCTCTCCAGCTGGCTCCAAAAGTCAGAATGAGGAAACTAATGCATTTTTTTTATTCTTCTAGCTTGAGCATCTCCTTTATGCAATTCTAATTTTTTTTAAAGATTTATTTATTTATTTTGAGAGAGAGAGAGGGCATGCTTATGAGAGTGGGTGGGGATGGGCAGAGGGAGAGAATCTCCAGCAGACTCCCTGCTGAGCATGGAGACCGACCTGGGGCTCGATCTCAAGAGGCTGAGATCATGACCTGAGCCAAAACCAAGAGTCAGATGCTCAAACCACTGAGCCACCCCGGCGCCCCACAATTCTTATTTTTAAAATGGGCATATTGAGCATGATGTGTATGCTAGTATATTCTAGGTCCTATGGAGGTGACAAAACATTTGACGTGTTCTTTCTCCCATGGGAGGGTAAGAAACATACAAAACATTGGTGCGAGGGAACAAGAGACTCGCTCACACTTCCTTAGGACTTTTGGCCTCAGATGAGACAAGGGTTGAGGTTAGGGTTGATCCCCTTGCCCCCCACCAACTCTGGCACATTCATAAATACCACACAAAGTGCAGAGGAAAAAGTTCTTCTGATTTTTGGAGCCACTGAAATAATATTGTATAAAGGAGGAATTTCTTCTCTTTTATAGGAAATCTAAGGCCTAAAGGGTAAGAGACTCATATAAAGAAGGAAGCAGAACAGAATCTAGGTCTCCTGGCCCCTAGTTCCAACCAGTAGCTCCCCAAATGGATTTTCACATCCAGGATGTATCCTCAGAAGCAGCACAATTGTTAGTCTCCCTGAGGAAGGCAGCCCCCAGGGATGTTAATAGGCATTAGGAAAAGTAAATCAGTAGAAAAGGTCAATTATGCTCAATTAAATTTAGGGGAATCTGGATGAAACAACATGACATAGATTTCTCCCCTACAGATTTTCTTAGCACACTTGATATATGAATGTAAATTGTCAGTCTTTAAGAGGGGCATTATTGGACTCTGAACTCTATCTATCTATCCATCTATCCATCTATCTATCATCTATCTATTTTACAATCTATTTCCTGGAATATCCTCCACACCAGCATTTCACAGGCCCACCGGAAAAAATGTCAACCTTGAATCTTTGATAAGGTCTGACACGCAAAAAGTGTGCTAGACTGTACCCATATACAAAAGTGACTACCCATGGCTGGGTCTAAAAGCACCATGTTGTTCCTTCTTTGACTTTGCAGTGATGTGACAGTTCTTAAAGCAGATGAAGCTCCCTTCACATATGTCTTCCCCCCTCCCCAAGCTTATTGATCTTTTGTAGCTAAAGAATAAAGTTTGCAAGAAATTAGTGGACACATTAAAATGTTCATTAAAATGGACAATATCTTGTCACAGCTATACTAATCCACTTACCTTTTCAAAGAGGTGTTTCTAGTGAATCAAGCTTTATAACTACGTAACCCCTTCCTAAGTTCCAATCCACACATAAAAGGACAATCATGAGCTCAGAAAGGCTTCCAAAGAGGACGTTTATGAATCAGTGATAAGTGAAATACAGTTTTCCTCTGTGGCAATTTGCTTTAGTAGATTCAATGTATAGGAGAAAGTAGAGAAAATTAAAACTTTAATTCAACTCCAAGACTGTTTTGAGCGTCTACTTGTTAGGCCAAGTGACAGTTTCTACACTCTGCTTCTGCTGAAAATATTTTTTTATTATTTTGACATAATTTCTGAAAATTAAGTTATCTAGAAGCAAATGAAAGGAGAGATTGCTTTTATAGCTCCAGGAAAAAAAATAATAAAGTTCCCCCTAAGAGGTAGAAAAGGTATGTTGGAAGGGGTGGTATTTAAGCTGGGCCTTGACAAATGAATCGTAGTTCACTAATTAGAGAAAAGCAGAGGGTACCATGCCAAGGTGGGACAACAGCATGCACAAAGGCATAGAAGCATGAAACATTGTGAATATTCCAGCGGGATCTCTGGTGTGGCTGGAATATAGGAGTATGGCATGGAGTGATACAGAGGGGGAGGCTTTGGAAACCTTATTATAAAGGACCCTCTGTGCCATTCCAGTGAGTTTAAAGTTCATCCTACAGGCTGCCAGTGAACATTTCTATGCATAGTAGAGTCGTGTGTATTTATAGATGTACTTCAGAAAGATCACCTTAGGAAAAATGTGCTGGAATATGAGAGATTGGTGAACAGAGTGATCTATCACACAGCTATTATAAAAGTTCTGGTAAAAGGAGCTGTGGGCAAGACCAGGGTTGAGAGGCCCTTCTGAGACAAAATGACAAGGTTTAGTTAAGTGCCCTGATGTGGTGGCGAGAAGACATTGCTGAAGACAGGCCCCAGGTTTTCTGGCTGCATGCGTAGTACTCTCTGTGTACTATGTATGGTAGGTGATACCACTGGGAGAGCTCCAGAGTGCAGAAAAGGATGCAGGTGTGCAGGGAGCTGGGAATAGAACCATTTTGCCTAAGCTAAACCATCGAGATGGGTTCAGAGAAAGGTACAGAGGAGGAAACGATCCCCACATCCTTCCCGGAGCTGCCATCTGCAAGGCCCAGGGTGCCCCCAGTTTCTCATCTACGGTCTTGTTCGATTTTAGGGATTATTCTTGTTCTGACTCTGAGTGACCCCAATACGTAAAATACCCACACCCACAGCTGCAGTTGGACCAGAAGTTATCATAAACCATATTGAGTTTGTTGTGATATCTTCAACAGAAAGTCAACTTGGCTCCATGTCAAAGTGCCTTGACAAACAGGTCGATATTCCCAAAGGCTTCCTGGTATGCTGGATTGTGGCACAGATAGGGAAAATGGAGAAAGATAAATCTTTGGCCCAACCTAGTCACGCCTAGTTTGAGTAAAGCTGGGTAAGTACAAATATGAGAAGTGTTCTTGTCTGAGTTCATTCCTGCCTTCTCTACTCCTTTGCTTTGGTGAAACCAAGATGAAGCTCTCAGTGAGTAGATTTTTCCTTTTGAATTTATTATCTTCTCATTAGAGACTGTTAACATTTTGAGCTAAGGGGGGGTCTGCTTCTTAGGACAATCTCACCGTGATGGAAAATTTGTTTTAAAAAAAAAAATCTCCTTTCGTGTCATTGAATCGTGGCAATTACAAGCATCTCTGTGGAGAATGATAGTTATACTGGGAGCAGACAGCTGTCTGAACACTGGATCCCTTGCTGTCTTAATAAAATTACCTTCCAGTCCTCCTGATTCAGGGCTGGTCACAAAGCAGGCAGTCCCTAAGCCCTAGTAAAACCTGATCTTTCTCCACATTCTTGAATTCCCCTTCTGACCAAAACTGCTGAGCATGCTCAGGGAAGATGAAAAGCTAATCATCAAATGAGTTGGGTGAGAGACTGTCACATTCTCTGCTGTGAAATGGATCTCCAAGTAAGAATGGCTTGCTTGAACCCTGACCATAGTCATTTATCCATGAAAACACCTGAAGCGTGAAGCTAGTGCAGCATCTCACCTGTAGCTCCAGATAAAAGGCTGAGAGTGTGGTAGGTAGACCACAAAATTCCACCAAAGTAACTGGTGGTACTGTGTGTCCCTTATAACAAGATGCAGAGGGGCTAGACATCCGATGAATATTTTCATGCTTTAACATACTAAACACTATATTATAGCAGCCTCTGCTTCAGAGTGGAGTTGCAAATGTAAAATGATTATCTAGAAATAAGTTCTAATAACAGCACAGTTCAAAAAAAAAAAAAAAAGGAGCTCCGAGCCCAGGTCAGATGTGGTTTCTCTCCTAGTTCTGCCGAGAACAAGGGGTATCATTTTAGCCAATACAACCTAGGCCACGTTACTTAACATCTGAAGCTCAATTTCCTCATATGTGAAAGGACTGCACGGTACTAGTAGATCTCTAAAATTTCCCCCACCTCTCACTATTTAGGAGACTAATTTTTACCTCCTTCTTAAACTATCAGGAGAAAAATAAAGCAAATAAAAGAATTACCTTGAATCACCAGGGCAGATCTCAGAGCAATTTGTCTCATTTCCAGGCCAAGGAAATGAGAATGGGTACTAGGAATCGGGCACCTACATAAAGCTCTGTGTTCTGATAACTAATGGCATGTACCCACTGACAAATGACTAACCCAGGTACCCAGGGACAGTGGCAGACTTCCTTTCTGCCAACCACACTTGACAGCCAGACCTCTTCACCCTCAGTATCTCAGCCACAGCTGCCAGGTTGCTTACTAATCCATTGCTTTAAAAAAAAATTTTCTTTTAGATAAAAAGAGTACCTTTTTTTTAAAGTATTTTATTTATTTATTTGACAGAGTAAGAGAGCACAAGCAGGCAGAACAGTAGAGGGAGAGGGAGAAGCAGGCTCCCCGCTGAGCAGGGACCCCCCCCATGTGGGGCTCGATCCCAGGACCCTGGGATCACGACCTGAGCCGAAGGCAGACGCTTAACCGACTGAGCCACCCGGGCGCCCCATAAGAGTACGTTTCTTTCTTAGGAGGTCTATGAAGGAAGGAAAGCAACCCAGATCAAATAAGAAAATTAAATCATTTTTGGACATAATTCTCAGAACCTATATGCATTTTCATATCGTGTATGCTATTCATTTTCAAATATGTTCTTCAATATACTGATACTGCATAGTTTTTTCATAAGGGCTACATTAATAATTCTAAAACTATATACCACAATAACATGATTACTACAAGTAATTAACCTACAGTCTTACACTATCATGAAAACTTTCTATGGTTGAAAAGAAATCAAAGGTCAAAGAAGAAAAGACAGACCACTCAACAGAGTGGTAAAATTAGTATTTTTTATAAGCTTGGGTAGAGAAAGAAGAGGACACTGTTTTGTCATGTGATAGTAGACCAATGTTACTTATGATTTTTAGATTGTCTTCGCTGGACTTCTTGGAGTCTTTCTGACCCCAGCCCTTGCTTTCACTGTAAGTGTTAAACTTTTTATTTTTTTTATAAAATTTTTTAAAGACTTTACTTATTTATTTGAGAGACAGAGAGAAAGACAGAGAGACCATAAGAGAGAGAGCATGAGCAGGGTGAGGAGAGGCAGAGGGAGAGGGAGAAGCAGGCCTCCCGCGAAGCAGGGAGCCCGAGGTGGGGCTCGATCCCAGGACCCCGGGACCATAACCTAAGCGGAAGGCCGATGCTTAACCGACTGAGCCACACAGGCACCCCAGTATTAAACTTTTTAAAGTGCATTACTAAAATGCATTTGCAAAGAAATGTGGTATTAAATCACTGTCAATTTCTTATCAATCTCAGGATATCAGCATTGGCGGTAACAGCAACAGTGGTACAAGTGGGCAGCAGTCAGTGAGTGTCAACAATGAGCATAATGTGGCAAATGTGGACAATAACAATGGATGGGACTCCTGGAATACCCTCTGGGACTATAATACTGTAGGTAGCCAACATACAATTTCCATTCTTTACAAATATGATGTTTCTTTTTTAACAACAACAAAAATGTCTGCTAACCATAAAAGAGTTAAAAATAAAGTAATTTCTAACTGTACATAAGCATAGACTTGTAAGTCAAAGTGCCTATTTTGGTCACCCGGTAGATATAACCCCTATTAATGTTTCCCACAATCAGTTAAAATTCAAACCCATGAACAGTAATTAGGATCTGCTATGTCCAAGGGATTGTGGGGGCTGTTAGACAAATATGAACATCCTTTTGCCTTCCCTGAAGATACTCTCTGTAATGAGGAGAGCCCTGCACAATATCACTGTTGCCTATCTCAGTCCATCTTCAATTTCCTTCTAAAAAGACAGAAATGGACATTTCACCTGTAGCTAAAAAAAAAAAAAAAGTAAATATAAATGACAATACTAATTGGTAAGAGAAGCAAAAATCCAAAACCAAACCAAAACAACAGTTGGCTCTGCTCTGCAATTACTAGTTTTTTATTTAACAAACTTTGTACTTTGAAAAAGGCAACTCTTTATCATTTCAGTTTTATCATGTGGGCCATTAGAAAACCAATCCCTGTCTGACCTGTCTCCTTGAAATGTTGCAAAGATCAAATGAGAGTAAAATGTGATAGCAATTTAAAGTTTATTTCAGCAAAACAGACATGTGGAGTGACTCCACACTAGAACCTGAAGGTAAAGCAACGAGTTAGACTCTAGGTCTCTGCCCTCCACCCTTACAAATGTTAGCAACAAATACGATTGCAAAACAGGGCAGGATCCCGCGCTCTGATGTGAGTTCATCATAATCTTGGAGTTCCATTTCCCTCTGCTGGTCAAACTGATTTTTGGTAAGAAAAGCTCCTTGGGGAACCTACTTCCTACTATCTACCATCTTCTTCACCAGAACTTTGCTGCAACCAGACTCTTTGGCAAGAAGAAATGCGTTGTGCACAGAATGAACAAGGACGTCATGCCCTCTCTTCAAACTCTTGATGCACTGGTCAAGGAAAAGAAGGTGTAAATAAAAATCTTTTTAATTTGGCTCAAGGGAGGTCTTAGGAGTGCCAGTAAATAATGAGGTCACAGTCATTTCCTCTTGACCACAGTACGTTGTAACGTGCGGCACAAAAAGGGAACAGGAGCTGGTAATTGCCTGAGAAGAGGGAGCTGCTACCACACTCAGTGCTGTGGATCCCACCTGCTTTTCCTGTTAGAGGAGCAAAGATCTGCTCAAGCCAATGGGAGCTGTCTCCACTTCTCCAAGTACATTTGCCCACAAGAGTCGGGTTGCGGTTATTAGATTTAGAAACAAAAATAGAGGATACCCAGTTAAGTTGGAGTTTCAAATAAACGATGGATAGTTTTTAAGCTTAAGCATGTCCTATGCAATATTTAGGACACACTTCTGCCAAAAAATGATTTGTTTATCTAAAATTCAAATATAACTGAGTGTCCTGTATTTTACCTGGCAACCCTAGTTGGGTGGGGAGAGAAGACCCATTGCTCTTTAAAATGTTTGCCTGAGTTCATATTTCTATAACTGATAAATAGGCATCTTTCATTGACCGGGTAGAGAAAATCAACTCCATTCTCAGAAACTGATTATTATATAGCTCGATCCAAGAAATACAAAGTGACCAAATGAGGTCCAAGCTTCAGAATAAATTTAGCCTCAGACTTTTGCTTTTATGAGAAGCTGAGGTTTCACATCAGCTAAATCTTTTGGGACACAGAAATTCCGAGATATACAGGGTTGAGGCTGATTATGAAAAAAAAAAAAAACTGTAGCCAAGCAATAGCCCCTGCTGACCTGGTACCCAGCCCTCATTCAACAAACCACTGGACTGGGCACTCATTCTCTCTCTTCATTTCCACACTCAGCTTCAGGGTAATGGACCAGGAGGACCACCTGCCAAGGGCCTGATGTACTCAATCAACTCTGAAGAAGTCAAGGACCTGAGCAAGTTGGGAAAACCCATTGCTAACATGTGCAGGGGAATTCCAACATACATGGCTGAAGAGATTGAAAGTGAGTAGCCTTTCCATGGTGCACTCCAAGTTATTGCTGATGGAATTGTCAGACTGTTCTTGGGCGTGCCCACAGAAGACACCGATCACTCAGCACTCGCTTTGTGCTTCAAGTGTGCTCAATTAGTAGCTCCTGCCGGCAGTCCTACATGATAAGTTAGTGTTATTCTCTCTTTCTGGATGAGGAAACTGAGGCACAGGGAGAGGTCCTAAGTCTCTTGTCTGCGTCAGTCCCAAGCATTCTGGCTTTGGATTCTGTGCTCTTCACCATTGGGAAATACTGCCTTTCAAGAGTGGATCTGGAATTACTGCAAGATAAATTTAGAGGAATGCATGAATTGCTAAGGGAAAAGAGAATGCCAATAGAATTTATTGACTTTTTAACAGCTCAATCACTTAATTTCTGCACCTTCAAAGAATAACTTGCACAAAAACAAAGTATCCACCTACCTTAATATAACAGCAACTTTCCAGATCTCTGAATTGATAGATTAAATCTAGATGGATAGCTAGACAGATGATAGAGATAGGCAGATTGATCTTGAAATTACTACATAGCTAGTTTGGAAGCTGTGTGACAGTAAAAAAAAAAAAAAAAGAAGAAGAGTCTTTGAAAAGATATTGATAACAGTTTCTTCTTTTCTTTTTACCAGGGGCAAGCCTGTTCTTTTCCTCAGAAAAGTGCTTCAGTGCTAATATAATCTGGATTCTGAACATTTCCTTCTGTGAAGGAACAGTGGAGAATTAAAAAAAAAAAAAGTCACTTTGAGTTTAGTCATCAGAATAGTCGATGCAAAAAAAATGGGTTCTGATGCTTGTTATCATGTTGTTCTGAAACGTTTTCTGCTAGTTATGCTTGGCTTCTTTAAGTTTCAATAAACTACTTAGCACTAAATTCCTTATGATTCATATTTGGAATGCACAGGCTCAAAAGTGCAATGTGGTGATAGCAAGTTGTCAGAGTGCATTAGACCCAACTGTTAGCCTATATTCAGGGCCCGTCCCTTATAAAGAAGCCCTTCAGATGCTTTGGGTAGTACTAACCACAGTTCTGGGAATGAATCCAAGACAATCCAGCTGCTCCGAAGACTGCTCCACAGTTGATGTGCACAGTAACGTTTCAGACCAGCAAGGGCAGAAATCCACTCAAAGCAGCTTACACTGGAAAAGGGGGCAGGGGTTATTGCAAGGATATTAGAATATCTAAAGTAATCTTCAGGCAGGAAAATCAAAGAGACTGGAACCAGGAGCTATATTGAGATCAAGACCCAAGTCTCCTTCTCTCTCCCAGAAGCCACTTACTAGTTCTTCCCTGTTCCTCTTTAAATTCTGCTTCTCTCTTTCTTTCCCTCCCTCAACTCCCATGTTTACATGTCTTTCCCGCTCAAGAGGTAATGTCTAATTCTTTTGAGTCCCAATTCTAATTTTCCTTGACCCTGTTTGGTTCAAGGGCCTACAACCTGCCAGGGGAGTGGAGTCACATGGTATAGGTGCAACAACAGGGTCTTTGCTGAAGGAGAAAGATCTCAGAAAAAATAGAGACTCCAAATGTTGTGCATGACAGTATGAAACTCAGTTCATTTTTTTTAATGCTCCCATACATATTTTTAAATCCCGATGCCATAAGAGGATACCTAATCCATTCTAATGTCTTCAGATGGGATATCCTTAAAGAACCATAGCAACAACCACAAAAAAGACATTGATTCCCACCATTTGGAAAAATGCAATATTTATCAGGCCTTATTGGGAAACAATTACAATAATTTTATTTATCCTGAGGCAATTCCATTGTTATTCACATGACTGTACTGCCAGAGCAGTAGAATTTCCAAAATACCCTGAAGCCATGATATGTGGAAACCCATCAAAGATCAAGGCCTTAGATACTGCCCTATCACTGTGAGTGAGAAAGAGAGAAACCTGTGATTCACAAACTGGATACAATGTCATGTAACTGACTTTTGGGAACTGATGAATCCCAAGTTTCTTAGAAGAATTATCTAGTCACTATTTCAGGGTAAGAAATTAAATTTATTAAGAAGATACAAAAATTCTAGATTATATACACCTATCAAAATATATTGCTCAGTCAGTTAAGCATCTACCTTCTGCTCAGGTCATGATCTCAGGGTCCTGGGATCAAGCCCCGCATTGGGCTCCCTGCTCAGAGGGGAGTCTGCTTCTCCCTCTCCCTCTGCCCCTCCCCCACTCATTTTCTCTCTCTCTCTCTCTCCCTCTCATAAATAAATAAAATCTTTAAATATATATATACATATATGTATATATATATTAAGGAAAAATTGTAAGAATTACTGGAGAATTTAATAATCTCACTGTCTTAAAGATTTTAACACATATCTTTCAATAAATTATAGATGAAGCAGCTAAAAATATAAAAACATTTAACAGAACTAACAAGCTTATTTTAATGAACACAATTAGAACACTTCAGAATGCATATTATTCTTAAGTATGTATGAGACATTTACAAATACTGATCACATGCCAAGGCACAAATCAGATCTCAAAAAATTTCAAATGATTGGCATCACAAAGAACACATTCTTCTGCCTTCAAGTTAATTAAGAGAACAAATATTCACTTCTAAATAAAACAAGATAGTTGTATTTGTTTTGAAAGTAGGCAGCATATTTCTAAATAACACATGAGCCAAAGAAGAATTCATGATGAAAGTGGAATGCATTTAAAACTGGGCAATAATGAAAACACTACATATCAAAACCTTATGAGTGGCAACTATAGCAATGGATAGAGGAAAATTTATACTTTGAACATTCATTTCATAAAAGAAGAAAGGTTGAAAATTGAATCAAAAATTCAAGTTTGGGGCATCTGGGTGGCTCAGTCATTGGGCATCTGCCTTCGGCTCAGGTCATGATCTCAGGGTCCTGGGATAGAGCCCCGCGTCGGGCTCCCTGCTCAGCAGGAAGCCTGTTTCTCCCTCTCCCACTCCCCCTGCTTGTGTTCCCTCTCTCGCTGTCTCTCTCTCTCTCTCTCCCTGTCAAATAAATAAATAAATAATCTATAAAAAATATTTAAAAATTCAACTTTAAAAATGAGGGAAAAGCATAAAATATCCAAAATAAATAGGAGGGAAGAAATAATGTTGACAATAGTTAATAAAATAGAAAAAGATATATGATGTAAGACTCAATAAAGTCAAAACTTAGTGCCTTGGAAAGGCATAAAATTGACAAACTTTAGGTAGAAATGACCAGAAATCCAAAAAGAAATAAGTGGAGTGAATCTAAAAAAATAAAACCAAAAACAAATGACTAAACAAACAAAAAGCAGACTTAGGTCTATAACTATGGAGAACAAACTGATGGTTGCCAGAAGGGAGGAGGCTGGAGCTTTGGCAACATGGGAGAAGGGTAGCAGGAGGGACAAGCTTCTGGTTATGGAATGAAGAAGTCACAGGAATAAAAGGTGTAGAGTAAGGAAGACAGTGATACTGTAGTAACATTGTAATACTGTAGTAACACTGTAACGCGATAGATGGTAGCTGCACCTGTGAACAAAGCATAATGTAAAAACTTGTCGAATCACTGTTAGGCACCTAATGTAACATTGTGTGTCAACTACAAATTTTTTAATTAACTAATTAATTTTTAAGATAAATCACCATCAACGCTAGAAACAAACAAAAAGATACTAAGCTATAGATGCCACAGATACTGAGATGCTAATAAAATGATGTTGTGAACAACTCTGTATCAATAAATTTGAAAGCCTAAGTGAATTGAATTTCTAGAGAAAAAAACCTACCAAAGCTCACTTGAGAAGAAATATAGAGCGTGGATAATTCTATAACCAGTAATGGAAATGGTTCAGAAGTTTAAAAATTTTACACAAGAAAATTCCAGGCCAAGGTGGTTTTTATACTGAGATTTAACAAAACTTGAAAATACAGATTATTCTAATCTTATAAAACTATTCAAATGTATGGGTGGGGGTTGGCGGGGGCCAGGGAGCAGGGGGAGCACTCTCCAACTCATTTCATGAGAATACTGTTAACTTGATTCCAAAACCTGACAGGGATTGTATGAGAAAAGAAAAGTACAGGACAATCTCTGTTATGAATATTGATGCAAAATGTCTTAACAAAATTATAGCAAATCAATTGAGCAAAGTGTAGAAAAGATTGAATGTAGCACGACCATGTTGGATTTTTCCTAGGAATGCAAGTTGGTTTGATATTAGGAAATTAATAATGTAATTTGCCACACTGAAAGATCAAAAGACAACAATTTATGATGTATCTCAATAGGAGCAAAATTCATAATAAACAAATAATTCTCAGAAGATTTAAAATCAAAAGAAACTTTATTAATCTAAGATTATCTAAAAAAAACTACTGTATCATGTAAAACAATGAAAACATTCCTCTTAAGACAAGAAATAAGACAAATGCTTGTCATCAAAACTTCTAGAAACATTGTATTGAGGGACGCCTGGGTGGCTCAGTTGGTTAAGTGACTGCCTTTGGCTCAGGTCATGACCCCAGGGTCCTGGAATCTAGTCCCGCATTGGGCTCCCGGCTCAGCAGGGAGTCTACTTCTCCCTCTGACCCTCTCCCCTCTCATGCTGTCTCTCTCATTCTCTCTCTCTCAAATAAATAAATAAAATCTTAAAAAAAAAAAGAAAAGAAACATTGTATTGAAAGTAAAGTAAAAAAAAATTAAATACAAAGATTTGAAATGGAAGAAGGAAGAAAAAACAAACATTATGCCCAGATGACACAGTTTTCTATAAAAATACAAAAAAATCTATAGATAATTTATGGGAGTCAGAACATTTGGAAAGGTTCCTACTGGGGCACCTGGATAACTCAGTCGGTTAAGCTTCCAACTCTTGATTTCACTCACTCGCTCTCTCTCTCTCTCTCTC